GTAGCATTCTAAAATTAAAAGAATACAAAATAGGGTGGGGTGGCAACACAAGCAGATTTTTGCATACATCTTGCTGGCATTAGAGCAGCAAGCAAAATGATTGTTTTCTCCAAGTCAGCCTGGTGTAAAGGATCATATTGATAGGCCTAACGATTGAGTTATTAGCTATTGCTATTACAAGCAGAGTTATGGTTTATAGCAGCCTTTCTAAAAATCAGTTTAGTCTGGATCTTCCTGAGAAGCCTTGTCTGCTGACAGTTTGCTGTCTGTGGTTCAGCTGGTTTAGAAAACAAACAAAAATTCAGTACTTAAACGATGAAATGATAGATAATCTGATTATGCCAGAATACTGGTGAGGCTGAAACACTAAATGTATAATGTTGTTGCAACCATCTGGAATATTTCATTGTAAAACGATCATTGTATATCATTAGCACACTACTTGATAGATGTTGAGCGGCTGAATTTGTGAAGCGCTTTTGTGCAGTGCTTGGAGATCCTTGGAGCATTTTTTTTAAGGTTCCTTTAGGTCTGACAGACATCACAGTGTGTTTTACTTTTTCATTGTAAATACTATAATGGTGCCAGCAATGGAGTATTTACTGCTTTTCATATGTGTGAGAATACTAAACATATGTATTTTTAAAGGAAATACCAGAAGAATGTGAAACTAGCTTGTAACAATAATTTGTAGGTTTGTGTCCATTGTTTTCAAGAATATGTAAATTGTTACATTATAGAACTCGCTTTGAACGCTGCTACATAATTAGCTGCACTAAACATCAGTATTCAATTTGGAAAATCTGTAGCCAAGTGTTTTATTAGAATTTCGTGGAAAAGGAGAATGTGAACAAAACTGTAGAGCAAATAATCCGAAATGCAGTTAAAAATAATGAAAACCAAGCACCAGCCACATAAACACACCAGATGAAGACACAGCAAATGAAGATCGTAAAAAATGAACTGGAATAAAAACACGTAAGGCCAATCCTCAGCTGAAGTCAATAGGGACATCTGCAGCGGGAGTGATGGAACCTTGGTCATTTGCATTAGCTGAGGGTCTGGTCTGTGAAATTTATTATCAGGCTCATTGCTTAGGAGCAAATGACAGTAACAGTAAAGGGGTTTTGGTCAACTGGTTGCAGAGGGCTCCTGCAGGGATTTGGTGTTCTGTCAAATATCCTCCTGCAAATCCAGTCAAGTTGATCTAAAATAGCCCCTATGTGCTCCACCCTGCTATGGGGCTGGCGTGCTAAGACACGACTCCGTACTTAAACTGCTGCAGTTCACAGTCCATGTGTTAGGAAAGTCCTGTGCTGTGTGAGTTGATCTGATATGGTTCCCACTGGTGGGTCTGAGGCTGGAGCACACATCCAGCTTTGCTGACTCTCCTGTAAGGTTGGGAAACCTGAGTGGAGAGGCAGGACGCGTAGCTGGCTGCATCTTGGAACTGCTGCAGTTCTGTTTGCCAGGGAGGTTCTTCAAGCAGTCAATGTGATTGATCATTAAACCCCAAAATACTAGGAAAATCAAGGGAACAGTTAGTGGAGTTACAATTACTAGCATATGTCATGTACTTACCTGTACAAATCCATGCATTTGCATCTCCTTGCTTTGGCTTGCTAGGTACACCAGCTCTGATACTACTCTTTTCCACTGTGTATCGCCATTGCCTTTTTTAGTGCTCTGAGTTCCAAGCAGTTTCAAGATCCGGTATGAAACCCACTTTTACTTGCATCTCAGCACCATTCTTCCTAATATATATAAACCCCGAAGTGCTTGAATTGTTTGCTCAGCCAACTCCATCAGCCCATCTGTTTTTATCACTTATTGCTCTCACTTTCATGTGTGTCAGTTCCCTCACGCATCTTCTTAAAAACATACTCAGCTGTGCAAGAGATCTTCTTCCCTCGCCTCTTTCAAGACTTCTTTTAAGCACGCACACAGAAAAATACAAATCCTAATCAACTTCATAAAGTACTGCAAGAGAAAACAATAACTCTGCCCTGACAGGTTCTTGTATGGGATCTCTGGTCATCCGGTGCTTTGAGAACTTTAGTTTGTGTTTTATCCTCCTGAAACAGGGGTGGAAGAGGCTGGTGTGTGTCCGAGACGTTGCTGAATATGGTCAAGAGGGGAGCAAACACTAATAGTAATAACGTTATCGTTAGAGCATGTCCAAATTCCATACAGTCAGCTCATTTTCCTCATGGGGAGTGTCTAGCTTCCTGTGCTGTCAGTCAGTCAGCATGCCAGCCTTATGGGAAAATGGTGCTAAAAAACGTAGGGGAAAATGGAAGAGGGCTGAGACATCCCGTAATCCAAGGTCCTCTGCCCAAGACGGGAGCACGTTTGAGTGTTGGTGTTTACAAAAGGCCCGGCAAGGCACTGTTCAAAAGAAAAGGGGAGTGATAGTGTGGGTTCGTATGGTGAGGCAAGGAACTGGGGAGGATTTCAGCCTGCTTTCTACATCACAGTTTCACATCTTTTTGCCAGGATTATCTGGAAGGTGTCTAGAAAGCTAGCAGAAGGGAGCTCATTCTCGAGGAACAGTACCTGCCTGAAGAAGCAACAAGGTCAGTGGTGGGTGCAGCAGAACGGGCTTGGAGCAGGCTTTGATTAACAAAGGATCAAAGAGCAAATTACACGTCTTCAGTAATAGAAAAACTATGAGAGGGTAGGGTGGAAAAAGGGAGGAGGCAATACGAGAAAGATGATGATTAGGG